GTTTATTTGCAATATCCTTAAGGATTTGATTTTACAGAGAGAGCCTGCCAGTTTCCTTGTACTGCCTGACCATGCTGACCACGTTAGCCAGCCCCTAACAGATGGTAAGGTCTCCCTCACTCTTCACCCTTGATTTGAGAAACCCATCACAGTCCTGAGTCAAGAAGGTTAGGTAGGAGCTCTGGCAGCCTATTAGCAAGAAGCTCGACTGCAATCTCAAAGGCACGCGGCTTGAGGAGGAGAATAAAATGTCTAAGGAAATAAACATTTTTTTTTAATAAAAAGAAAGTTGGGTAGTCAAAACCCCTGCTGGAAAGCCCTCTATATCCCCACCCTTCATGTTCCCAAACTGCCAATGCTCAGAGGAACCCTCACCAGGAGCACAAAGAAGACGAAGAAGATGTAAGTAACAAAATAGACAGGACCCAGGATGCGGTTGGCATTGTCGATAGCCTTGTAATCGAAGTCCCCAAGGATGATCCGGAACTGAGTGAAACTGAAAGAGCAGGGTCTCAGCTTTGCCGTGAGTCTAACTCTCACCCAGACCTCAATCCATACCCATTCTGCCCCTGGGTAAACTCAGACAGACTCCACACTACATCTCCAAGCCAACCAGGGAGAGCCATTGACATGGAGCACTTGAGCACACACACCCGGGCTTCCTGACACTGTCATACAGATGCTTTAAATACACACTCCCACATTCATCTAGCCAACCATCACAAGGAAACACACAGCCCTGGAACTGGAAGGAGAAGGGCCAGGGAAGACTGAAGGGTCTAGGACACACACATGCACTTAATGAAAGTGCTGAAATTTTCCACTTGGGTCCCGAAAAGCAGATATCCGAGTTGAGCATAGGCGAAAAAGACGATGAAGAACATGACTGCGAAGCCCAGGATGTCCTTGGCACAGCGGGCCAGTGTGGACGAGAGCTGGGTCATGGTTTTGTTGAAGCTGATGTACTTGAAAATCTGCAAGGGCCATGGTGAAGCAAGTGATGAAGGAGGAAAGAAACAATTCTGACAAGTCCACTCTAGAGGCCTGCAGAGGCCACCGGAGTAGTCAAATCAAACAAGGTGAATGAGATAAGTATTGAGAAAGAGAGAATGAATGGCCAGAGGCAGAGCTGCAGGTGGGGAGTCCCAGAGTACCTTGATCCAGGCAAAGAAGAGGTTGACAGCATTCATGTTGTTGTATTGTGTCTGCCAGAAGGCGAGGAACTCAAAGTCAGCGTATATGTTTGGCTGCTGTAGGAGCTTCCCCATCAGTTGATTCACCTCCAGGGTTCGGAATATGTGGAAACCCACAGCCACAACAGACAGCTGTTATCACAGAAGGGGGTCAGGAGAGTCAAGGGGACCACAAAGGAAGGTCAAAGATGGGGTCCCAGGGAGAGCTGGGGTAGTAGTTAAAACAGGTGGGAGAACCTTCCTCACACCTGAGTTCTTGACTATCTCAGGCTTAAATGGACCTGGCTGGGATAATTGGGAATCATCTGAGGTACCTTGGAAACCTAAAAGAAGTCTGTGAGACTCAGGATAAACATTGCTCCTGAAGCCTCTGGTTGTACAGGGGCCATGGATTATTGGAGTAAAGTAATTTCAGCTCCTATGACCACTTTCTAACCTCAGTATGGAATTAAAGGTGTCCTGTTAATAGGATGAAGACGGTTGATGTTAAGTGCCATCAAATCAACAAATGGCTGTATGAACAGTGGATCTGACCCCCCGTCTGGTGCCATCTTCATCAACTCTGTTATACCTGAGCCCATTGTTAGTCACTGGGTCAATCCATCCTGTTAAAGGTCTTTCTCTCTTTCACTGACTCTCCACCTTTCCAAGCATAAGGTTCCTTTCCAAGGACTGGGCTCTCCTAACATGGCAAAAATATGTTGATGGGAATGGAGAGATAGTATAACTGGACTGGCAGAAGTTTCAAGAAGATAGTTCATAAAGGCAAGAGACATAAGAACGGAATAGCAAATATACAAAGGAAAGAGCCAGGCCCAGATCATAGATCTGTCTAGAGCAGAGGGGTTCTAGGAGATAGCAATTTCTCAGGATTGAGTTAGGGGAACATTAGTCTCTTATTCAGAGAGCTGTTGCAAAGGTATTTGGTCAAATGTCAAAAAGAGGACTTGGAATTCCACCAGGGAGAACTTAGAGCCCCTAACCAGGTGGATCCCCTCATCCTCCCAGACCACCCCAAGACCAGGACCGCAGGCCCTCACCAAAATGACCACCAGATCTAGGATGTTCCAGATGCTGCTGAGATAGTGAAGCCGGTGGATACGAAGCTCCAGAATCTCCTCCACCACATAGTAGAAGATGAAGACACAGAAGACGACCTCACAGCCAACAATGAAGAAGTCCCAGCTGCTGACGTAGCGGATCAGCTTCACGGTGCGGATCTGCCAGGATGGGATGGCACCTCCGGTCGCTGGGAACTCCACCACTAGCCTGAGTGTGGGCGGAAGAGATGGTTGGTGAGGCCTGGGCTGGGACAGTGCCTCCCGTCTCTTCCCTCCACCACTCCACCCTGAGGTATGTGTTTAGGGAACTTTGTCAAGCAGAAGAGAAGGGAACAAAAAGCTACAGGTAAAGGAATAATACAGGGAAAGGGGCCCACCTCAGGACACAGAAAAGATTGATGTTGGCATTGTACACTGAGAAGTCAATGAAGACCACCCGAGTACCCCGGTCCAGCCACAGCCCTTCCTTCAGGTCCCGGAGCGCCTCTGCACTGGCCTGTCGAGATTCTAGGAGGTCTAGGTAGTAGCCACCTCCACTGTAGCTTGTGAGCCGGCCCCAGTGGGAGGAACCTCCCAACTCGTCCTGTGAGTGGTATGTCCACCTGCCACAGAAAAAGCCATGTGAGCCAAGGGAGGCCTGGGCTAGTCCACAAAGTTCAAAGCCCTCAGGTGATGGCAGCATTGTAAGATCATTATGCTTTACCACTTCCAGTCTATTTTAATAGGTCTTGTTTGATACTAGCAACTATTTGAGAAGGGAAGACAAATATCGCTTACATTTTGCAAATAAGGAGGCTGAGACTCAGGGATGCTTAAGATTAGCCAGCTAATTAGTATGAGAATGGACACCCAACGTTCTGTCTGATTTTTCATTATGTCACCCAAGTCTGTGGATCACAGGCCCAAACTTACTCTTGGGCCCAGTTGGAATAGTTCCTGTAAGGGAAACAGGCCTCTAGAAGCCAGAAAAGATCCTTCCAGCTCTTGAGATGGTGCAACTGCCTTCTTATCCCAGGATTCTCTGTTCTATCTACCAAAGTTTCTTCCCTGGATTCTTAAGTGCAGGGAAGTGACTAAGTCTGATTCCTATGGCAATATCAGTGCTTCATCCACTTGTCACTTCTCCAGGAGTGGATAAGTAGGAAGGATGCTTCCCTGGCTGAACTGCTGCTAAGCTAGGAAAAATGTGATTGAGAACTGTGGAGAGCGGGGACATGTCTGAAGGCTACTGCTCTGTCTAGACCTACCTTGTTTCTAAGTGACAAACTCCACAGTTTCCAAACAATCACAAATGGAACTAAAAAATTTACCTACAATCTCTCTCAGAAGACCAAGGTTTTATAACACTTCCTTCAGTGGAAGTGGCTCCCAAAACTTGGGAGTTGTTCCCAGGCTAACTGCCCATCCAAATCACCTTGTTACAGCAGGTATTTCTGAACCCCAGTAGCATGGGACCTAGGAATTTGCATTCAGGTTTCTCAGACAAGAAAACTGTGGAGCCAAGTTTGAGACTTTCCTCTGTTGGGGTTTCTCTCAGATTCTGGGTCCTCGGAGGGGTGGACGGGCCTTTTGCGTAGATATTAGGGAGAGTTCACTTACGCTGTGCCGTTGAGGGATCCAAATGGGAGCTGCTCTTCCTTATCTGGAGAGTAGACGTCGTAGCAGCTCAAAATATCCTCACGGAAATCCTCATGCACCACACAGGAGTCATTGCGGACCCTGAGCTGCCGAAGCCTCGGAGCCCCCAGCAGCATGTTCTCGTAGTAGATGAAGGAGTGGGAGCCTCGGCCCAGGCTCTGGTTGTTGTACCATTTGGTCCAATACAAACTGTCCAGGAGTGGGCCCTGAGCAAACTGGACCAAGAGCTGGATTGGATCTGGCCTAGCTGATCCTGACCATTATAGTTAGAATGACTTCCACTCTCTTTCCTTGACCCCCACGCTATCTACGTCTAGTGTGCAGCCCACCTGACTCATGAACCTTGGTCAGGTCTACACTTGACCTGATGTGATTGAGAATTGTGGAGAACGGGGACATGTCTGAAGGCTACTGCTCTGTCTATACCTACCTTGTTTCTAAGTGACAAACTCCACAGTTTCCAAATAATCACAAATGGAACTAAAAAATTTACCTACAATCTCTCTCGGAAGACCAAGGTCTTATCTTTAATCAAACATGTTTTGAATGAGCCTTTCTTCTGACTGTCAGTCCTAGTTCAACTCCTGTCTTGACTCCCTGATCCACATCCTGTCTATTATCTATCTCCTCCTGAGCTCTAGTCTAACTCATTAATTATTGCTTGGCCCTGTGACTACACCTGATCCCTGACTAACCTGATCTTTGTAATCATAACTGTCCAACTGTTGGACCTCCCTGAACTCCAGTCAATGGCCTCAGGCCTCAGGCCATTGGGAAGGAAAGGAGAGGGGCAGGAGAGATTTCATACTCACATCCCAGAAGTCGGCCATGCTGCTGATGGTTTGGAAGGAGACACCGGTGTCTGATGGAGTTTGTATGAAGAGCTCAGACATCACTTTGGTATAATAATAGGCACTGGAGCTTGTCATTCCATAAGTCACTAGAAACCAACCAAGAGTGTGTGACTTTCTCATTGTTCCCATCTCTGTGCCTCCAGATGAGACAGGAAACCTACTGCCCTGGGGTCAGGTGGTGACACTGGGGACCAGGGAAAGAATTAGGCAGGGTCGTGGCTACAAAGCCTTCTCCCTTTCTTTTCAACCTCTCTCAGGAAGATTGAACTCTACTCAGTAATTTTCTCCTGACATTATCATTTTGGAAATTGACTCTCCTTTTTTTAATATCCTCATTTTTCGCTCCCCATAACCAAGATAATTCTTCTCTGAATTTCCTTTTATTTATCCAAATTTGTGTCCTGCAGAACATGTCTCCAAATTTTTAAGTATTCCAAGGCCCTGATCAAACACTTAGTTAAGGGAACGTGGTCTCCCAGCCTCTGCAGTGAATGACTTAGCAGCCACAAGGGAAGGACGTCGGCCTGACATCCAATTAGCACTTGCAAGACATAGGTGTCTTTGAGCGAGGGACCCAGATGAGAAAACTCAGATGAGAAAAACCAAGCATTTGCCTTTCAGAACTAGGTTTTCTTCAGTCACCTTAGTACACACACCCAGTCCCATGTGCCTAGACAGGACTGCCAAAAGGAAGCTCTCAATTTTTAGTTAAAAGGCAAGATTTGAGGAGAAGAAAGCATTTATCATCTAGATAATTTCTCAATTTAGGTTTGTCAGATGTTTCCTCGTGACTAAATTCAGGCTGTGCATTTTTAGGAGGAATATCATAGAAGTGATGCTGTATCCTTTTCAGTAAACTGTATCAAGAGGCACATATTTTCATTTTTCATCTTGTAGGTTAACTTTGCTGCCTTGTTAGAAGGTATATTTCAGAGATTTTTTGATAAAAGAGTAATTCATTTTTTTATCTTTGTAATTAATAACTATTTTGTGGGACATACTTTGAAATTATTAAGCCACCTATCACTGTTGTGGTGTACCGTCGAGTTGTAACTCAGCTGACCCTCCAGCAGGTTTTCAGAGGCAGATAATCACACAGGAGGGACTGCGCATCTTGCTTCTGAGGAGCATCTGGTGGTTTTGAACTGTGTGCCTTTGAGATTGCAGCACAGCACACCCTGTTACATCAAAATCTTTCACCTACTAGTTTTAAAACGCAATAATTTGTGCTTGATTTTCACTATCATGGTTGTCAAATATTGATTTTCTAATTTAATCATTTCATTTACATTTTATTATCTGGTGTTTTCTGTAAGGAAGAGTTTTCCTTCATTTATTTCTATCACTGTGTACTCAACTCAGTCTTCCTTTTTACCTGTGGGTTACAATTGGCTAATTTTTAAAAATATTTACTATGTAAATAATCTCAGTTTTAGCCACATCATGAAAGATAAAGAAAAACAAAAGATTTTTTTCCAGCTTGAAGAGATTAAATACATAAAAACTAAATGCAATATATAATTCATTCTTGAATGTGTCTCAGAGTAGAATTTTTCTTTTTTTTAGTCAGTGAAATATGAATAATATCTGTTAGATGATAATATTTGATCAATGAGTTTCAACAGAACATTTTCGCTTTTTAAAAATATACATTGAAATAGTTCGTCTGAACAACTTAAAAAGTAATGTATGTGTATATTTAAAACTATTTGTTGTTTTTATGTACCATCAAGTTGGAGTGAAGTCATAGTTGACCCTCCAGCATGTTTTCATAGGCAGTAAATTGCATGGGGGGAGATTGCCCAGAGAAGCTGGTGGGAAGTCTGGGTGAAAGGCATTATGGATTGAAAAGTATTCATCAAAAAGATGTAAATTCTAACTCTCATGCTTGTGGATGGATTGTCTTTGTTATATTAATAAGGCAAGATTAATATAAAATGTATCTTGAGCAATATTTTTTGAGATATGAAAAGAAGATTAAGCAAGAATCAGAAAGAAAAATGGAGTAAGATAGATGCCAAGAGATAGAACGCCAAAGAACCAGGAAGCAGAATCTGAAAGACAAAGGACCTTCCCCTCAAACCCACAAAGACACTTGACTCTGACCTTGGCCTGATATTCTGAAGAAGGGCTTTGAGTCTCCTAACGTGTGAGAAAATGGATCTCTGTTTGTTAAAGCCACCCACTTGTGGAATTTCTACCAAAGCAGCACTAGATAAGAAAGAGTGACAAATGAATGAATACATTTGAATGGTGGTATTATAGGAGAATAGGGAGGTCTGGTCACTTAGAGAATGGCACTGCCAACCCAAAGGCTCATGGTTCAAATCTACCACACCACGGGAGAAAGATAGCCGTCTCCTTCCATGCTCTTTACTGTTTCTGAAATCCTGCTGGAGGGTTAGCAATGAGTCTGTTCTGACTCGACAATACACAACAACAACAATAGAAGAATATTGAATTTATCACAGGGTATACTAGGAGAATGAACAAATGTGTCTTGGAAAGAATACAACTAGAATGCTCAGGAGAGAGAGAAAAAAATGTTTGATAAAGTACAAAGCTATTGAGAAAGAGAAAAGAAAAGGACAATCTTCAATAAGATGGGTTGGCACAATAGTTGCAATTAAGGGACTCAAACACAGCAATGACTGGAAGGGTGGTTTTATTGTGTTGCACATGCTGTGTTGGTAAGGTATCATCAAATCAATTACTATTCATAGTCACTCTACATGCAACGATCTGACCCTTGTCCCATCGCTGTCATCTCTAGCCCACAGTGTCAATACATCTTGTTAAGGGTCTTCTTCTCTTTTGTTGAGTTTCTACCTTTCCCAGAATGATGTCTCTCTCCAAGGACTGGTTCCTCTGGTAAATATGCCCAAAGTTAAGTGAGAGGTTTTACCATCCTTGCCTCTAATGCAACTCTGGTTGCATTTCCTTCAGCCAAAAGGGTCATTGTTTATCAGACCTGACTTAATGGCACCTAATAACAGATAAGACAAAAAAAGTATAGTAACTTTCCTATTTGTCTATAATAATCATCAAAACACATTTTTTTTAAAAAGTATAATTTGTCAGTCTCCTATGAACAAGTCCTTTTAGGAATTTTCTTCTTCAGGTCTTTGGGTATAGTTTCTCCCACACCGTAATAGAAAGGGAATAAATGGCTTAGGGTAGACTGGAACTCTGTGATCTTGGATGAGAGAATAGGTCCATGGGAAGTCTCTGTTGGGCACAAGAAACATCATAATTCTTGAGGAGGAAAAACAAACAAGGAAGGAGCATTTTTTTAAAATTTTAATTTATTTATTTTTCATTTCAATGAACATCTACAGAGATTTTGGAATTCCATTCATTTGTTGTTGCACCCTTCTCCTGGAAGGAGCATTTTTATTTCACACTTCCCCCTCCTGCACTAGTAAAGGACTGCAGCCTCCAAAATGGATTGAAGCTTAACATCAAGAAAACAAAGATTCAGGGAGCTCTGGTGGCCTAGTGGCAAGAAGCTGCACTGCAATCCCAGAGGTATGCAGTTCAAATCCACCAGATTCTCTGTTGGAGAAGGAGGGGCACTCTCCTCCTGTACCAGTCAGAACTGATTTGATGGTACACAAACACAAAATTATTTAAAAAATTAAAATAAAAAAACCCCCAAAACACAAAGATTCTCACCACTGCACCGATTGGCAGCATTATGATAGAGAAGAGATTGAGAATGTTAACAGCTTCAGCTTGCTTGGTTCCACAATCAACATTCTTGGTACCACCATCCAGGAAATAAAAAGACAAGTTGGACTGGGAAAATCGGACCTCTCCAGAGTACTGAAGAACAATGATGTCAGCTTAGAGACTAAGAGAATAAACAGGTCTGTCCTAGAGAGGGTGAAACCAAACTGATCCTTGGAGGCAAGGATTTTTAACTTTGCCTCACATACTCTGGAACAATCCTTGGAGAGGGACATCATGCTTGGAAGGGTGGAGGGACAGCACAAGAGAAAAAGACGTTGGCTGAGATTGACTCAATGACTGGGGTTGTGGGATTAGGCATATCAGAAACAATTAAATTAGCTCGAGATGAGTAGGGTTCAGAACTGTTGTACATTGGATCGCAATGAGTTGCAAGTGACCCAACAGCACATAACAACAACAATGCTAATAAATGAGGACGCTCTGATGGCATAGTCTGTATGCAGTTGGGCTTCTAAAAGTATCCAGAGATGACTCTCTAGTGGTTTAAATCCAGTAGTGGGAGAAAAATGGACAATCTCTTCCTGAGCAATTTACAACCTCTCAAAAAGCTGTTGGAAGGTCAAGTATGAGTTCCAAGTCAAGGGCATTGAATTGAGTTGGGCTTAGCTTTTGTTTGGACACTGTTAAATAATGAGTTCTGGAGGCATAGTCCATTGAGAGGTGCTGTTTTGGCCTTTCTAATTTGCTCTGCAGGAGAAAGATCATCAGTCCTGGGTGGTTTACAACCTTGGAAGCCTAATTGAGGGTCAGCTATGAGTTTTAACCGACTTTATTGGGAATGCGGAGGAGATGGGGAGAGAGAGAGAGAGAGAGAGAGAGAGAGAGAGAGAGAGAGAGAGAGAGAGAAGAGAGAGACTCTGACTGTTAAAGGCAAGAAACAGCATTACTTTAACTCAAATCTGTGATTAGCTCTTTGAATATAGTGAACTATTCCAATCCCACTTTTCTACATCTATAAAATAGGCTCCCACTGGAAAGAAAACTTTTGTGGGCTGAGAAACCTTAATGCACTAGGCTGATGATGATCAATGAGCCTGAACGTCTCTTTATTACTTCAGGAAGACTACATTGTTGTACCGTAAATGACCACTAGGTGGTAGTCGTTACTATAGTTTTTTTTCCTCTTGGCTTCGTATTCTGACTAGAATTAACATAGTAGTAGATAGACCCCACATTGGCAGTCAATCAAAACAAAGACAAACAGCTGTAAACATCTTTAATAGTCGGAACATGGAATGTACGGAGCACGAATGTTAGAAAACTAAAAATGTACAGAAGTACATTAGTGAGATGAGATGAACTTTGAATCAGACAATCACATGATATACTATCC